TTCTTCTATTGCATGTCGCAGTGCAGTCCAAATGCTTAGATATTTTCACCTTCAAAAGTATGTACTTCAAAAATATCTTGCCTAGCCTATTTTGCTACAGTAGAGGGAGCTGTAACACAAATTGAACTAAGTGGCAACAACAAAATTTTTGCCTTTACATTTTTGTCAGTCGTTATTGAAGTATTCTAAGTGAAGTGGTTCGTTGGTGTTTTATCAGATTCATTAGACTGGAGAACTACTACCACATTTAATATAGTTGTGTTCTGTGTAATGATGTTTCAATCAGTGATAGACCACATAGTACACAGTTGTCCCATGGAATTCTATAATCAGCTGACCATCTTAGTTTCTGTTGGTCCTCTGTAGTGTTCATACACTGAGGGGATCGCCTGACTGCATTTGTCCAAACCCAGCCCTGTGGCTCCGTGACACCTGACTGCAGAGAATACACCTCCACCTTTGTTTTGCAGTCACTTCTATCCACACCCAAACTGCTCTGCCCTCTCTCACTGTACATTGCCTGCTTTAGAAACTGATCGGTTTGGGGGCATTTTAATTTGGCATTTTATCAGAGTGGTTCATGTTACAGTTATCAGTAATAATTCCTTCCCAGTGGTGTGCTACTTAGTATTCTGTTGGGGTAAGCACATTTTGTTTATCTCTTTACTTCTGATGGTCTATTAGATAATTTTGAAATGAATAAAGGAAAAATGATTACTTGATTATAATAATGTATTTGCACTTGCCTTTTTTAATTTAAATTTTGCCCATAAACTGATTTTATGTAATATGCTATTATCAATCAGTTATAATTGTTTACTATTATTAAATAAAATTTGAAGTGGTTTTAGGTGTAAGTACTAGGTTAATGAAGGAAAGAAACTGAAATAATGTTAACTGATATGAAAGATGTTCACAGGTTGCATAAAATAGAAATCAGTTGTGTAAAATGAGGGCCAGCTTGGAAAGTACATGGAATAGAAGAAAACTTCATCAGCTTGATAAAGGAACACATACGAAAAAAACAATTAACAGCATTTTGAAAAAAGTATTTGGTTCCCTCCTAAGATTAATAACAAGACAAAAACATCTTCTCTCTTCATTTTTGTTTAACATTATACTTGAAATTCTAGCCAGTGCTGTCAAGAAAGAAAAAGAAACAGAAAGATATCATCCAGACTAAAAAGGAAGAAAAGACTGTTTTAAAGAAAGAATGTGATAATCCATATAAACAATGCTATAGCTCTCACCAAATAATAAAACTAGTGAATGAATCTAGCAAGGTTGCAGATACAGGCTCAGTATGCTCAAATTAATTGTTTATATTAGCAGTGAGCCGTAAGAAGTTAAAAATGAAGAAAACCACATACAAATAGCATAAAGATAAAATATTAATGGGCAAATCTTGATAGAATGTTAAAGAACTGCAGAACTGCACACTGAAAATTAAAATCAGTGCTGAAGGAAGACCCAAATAAATGTTCAAAGTTCTAGAAATTTGATATTAATTTTCCCCAGATTTAATGTGTTAATTATATGAAACTACTCACAATTTTAGTAGTTTTTTTTTTTTTTTTTTTTGGACAGGTTGTTTCTGATTACAAAGGATCTGGAATAACCAAAACAAGTTTGGAAGAGAATGAAGTTAGAAGTGTAACAGTAGTTTTGTCAGGACTGCCAGCATGCAAATAATGACTGAGAGACTAATCATTAAGTATGAATGCTTGGCCGTAGTTTAGGCACTTTCACAACTAGCTCTTAGAACTTAATTAATCCATTTTTTTTTTTTTAATCTACCTTCTGCCATTTGTCTTGGTTACCTCTTTTTGATACAGCTCCAAGTCTGCTGGTGAAGTTATGTGCCTAGAGTCCTCTTCCCAGTTTCTCTCTCTCTCTGCCCAGGAGTCCTGCCTATTCTTTCTAGCTACTAGTCATTTATCTCTTTATTAAACCAATCAGAAGGTGTCTTAAGCAGACATCCATCTTTTCAGTGGAAACAAATATCCTATAACATTTCCTCCTTTTCGTCTTAAAGGAAAGGTTTAGCTCTAACATAGTAAAAGTATACACAGTAAGAACAATTATCAGGCACAAATTACATTTACAATGTCTAGTCCATTTGCATTTGGCAAATTAAAAGAAAAATACTATGTTATCCCCCCTATATTAGTGGGTTCAGAGTTTTATACCTAAACCACTTTCTTGAGTTACCACCCTAAAAATATCTTTTTAGAACTTAAAACAATGTAAGCTTTTATGTCTCTCAACCTTACAAACTTTACACCTCTTTTGTAAGTTTCTTTTCTGAATTTGGTAACAAGGAAAACTGTTTAACTATCTAGTCTTAAAGCCCCTCAAAGGTCTGAGAAAGATGTAATATTACCTGTGTAAACAGTAAGTACAGAGCAAGCAAATTCCAAATAGATATGACAGAAACAGCTGGCTGTCTGGACATTCACCCCAAGATTCCTCTGCAACATTGGGGCATCTGTATGATGTGCGGTAATGCTCTTGTTCACCGAAAGATTTGTCACTCATATTGGTTCAATAAAATGCTGTTTGGCCAGTAGCCAGGCAGAGGTATAGGCAGGCTACCAGATTAGGAGAATTGTGGAAAGAGAAAAGGCAGAGATGCAGTCACTAGCCAAGCACAGAGGAAACTAGATGAGAATTCCTTACTGGGAAAAGGTGCCAAGCCACAGATAAGAATTATGGGTTAATTTAAGTTGTAAGAGTTTATTAGTAATAAGCCTGAGCAATAGGCCAAACAGTTTATAATTAATATAAGCCTCTGTGTGTTTATTTCGGACTGAATAGCTACAGGACAGAAACTTCTGTCTACGTCCATCTTCAACCTACAGGCCTAGAATATCTGACAGATGTCTATAGAGCAGGAATTCTGAAGGACTGCCCTATCTTGTCTTGGCAAAGTTCGGCAGTTGCCTTCAAAGCTACAGTGCTCAGAATGGTAGGTGTCAGAGTATTCTATAGATTCATTGCTGTACAGAATAGAGAGCTCAAGGAGGGCACTATGCATAAATGGAGGACTGATTTTAACTGAACCGATTTCACAAAAAGAGTCATGAAAGGAGGTGGTATTGACTATAGATTGCACTGAAACATTTTACTTTTTTAATTCATATACATAAATGAATTTATAACGGGTCATAACCTGAATTTAAAGCCAAAAAAAAAAACTTTATAAGGAAAAAAACTGGAAAAAAAAGTCTTTGTAACCTGAAGTTAGACAAAGATTCCTAGATATGACAGCGGAAGCAGAATCGTTAAAATAGTCTCAAAATTGAAAGCAATTATTCTTGGAAAGATTCTGTTAAGATGGTAAAAGCAGGGTATAGTGGAGCATAGCTTTAATCCCATCACTTCAGAGACAGAGCCAGGCAGATCTCTGTGAAATTGAGGCCAGCCAGAGGTTTTAGAGAGACCCTATCTTTAAAAAAAAAAGCGGGGGGGGGGGTGAAGAAAAGGCATACACTAGGATAATAATCTTTGCAAAGCAAATGATTGATAATGGACTCCTATCTACAGTATATGAGAAATTCTAGAAACTTAGCTAGAGAATAGGCATTCCAGTTAAAAAACGGGGCAACAGTTTAAAATAGGTGTCTCACCAAAGATGTCAAGATGACAAAGTACTTGAAACGGCTCTGCCTTTGCCCCCATCTTCAGGCGCCCTTCTTCCTTTCTTATCTAGTTCAACTCTCCCTTTCCTCTCACTTGTAATGCTGCACCAGGGGCACAAGAGCCACACACTGGGGCTGTACAGTTTGCATTTGGAAAGCAGACTGCACACAGTCCCCTGCTGTGTGCAACCAGGCATGTTACAGCTTCTCTGTTGGCAGCCTGGTGAGTAAATCAGTCAAGCGGGTCTAGGGATGTAGGATCAAGAGTGAGATAGAAAGTCCTGTTACCCAGTGTTCCAGCTTCTTAGTGATAAAGGCAATATGTTATCTCCTTTTACCTGCAGTCTGTTTTTGCTCTCATCCAGAACTGTAGCGGTAACAAGAAGAGACAGTAATGTATCTTTAAAAAAGTTCTTCACTGGGGCTCTGTTAAGTGGTTCTAGTTACCAACATGGAGAGGTAGATCCCAGGTTTTCTTACTGTGGGGTGTGTGTGTGTGGTGTGTGTGGTGTGTGTGTGTGTGTGTGTGTCTGTCTGTCTGTCTGTCTGTCTGTCTGTGGTGCTAGAAATGGAACCCAAGGCATTGCTCATGCTAGGCAGTGCTATATGACTGAGGTTTACCCCCCAACCCCTGACCTTACAGATTTTTGTGTATACTTTGATGACCTTTAATAGGATTCAGATTGGAATTTTCCTGACCATATTAAAGATAACAATCATTGTGATACTCCAGGTGGTGTTGTTGCAAGCCTTGAATCTCAGCACCGGGGAGGCAGAGGCAGGTAGATCTCTGTGAGTTCGAGCCCAGCCAGGGCTACACAGAGAAACCCTGTCTTGAAAAACAAAACAAAACAAACAAATAAAAAAGAAAGAAAGATTGTGGTTACTGATTCCTATTTGGTATCCAGGTGATTCCAGAGATTTGGGCTTACAGGGAAACCTTTGGCTGCTATTCACCTTCAAACTCCTTATAAATACACAATGCTTCTGAGTCCTATTTAATAGCTTCCCATACAGAAAGCTGTAGAGTCACAACTACTAGTTTTTCTCAGTATTTGCTAATAAATGTGAATCTTTAAGACTCTTATGATTCTCTGAGTCGTCAAAACTTACAATTGATATTATGTGCTTTTTAAAAGAATGTGAAAATTATGAAGTGGTTTGTCTTAGGCTGTTCTTATAATTTAGTTGTTTTATAGGCTTTGGGCAGGTGTGTGAAAATTTTAAGGGACTTTTATTTCAGCAGTCTTAATTGTACATCTTCTTCAGAACTGCTGGCTTTCTCTGCAGTCACCAGTGAGCCCATTTGACTTCTTGCTGGGTTCTGACTGACTCTGACTTCTCTTCCTTTTGTTTTAGATACTTGTACCTGCTGTTCTCTGGTGATGACCTTCTACCTTTAGACCACTGGGTGTTTAACACAGAGGCTCATCCTCTGCCGGTGTTGCACTTAGCCAATACCACCCTTTCAGGTAATCCTGCTGTTCGATGAACACAGCTCCAGAAGGACCATTCTTACCTGTGTTTTGTTTACATGGACCACTACAGAAATTGTCTGGAGAGGCGGCTTTGAAAACTTGGACCTCTGTGTCACCATGCCGGATGAAACTCTCCCCTGCAAGACTTTTCACTTGTAGATACATCAACTTTGAAATTATTCCATTTTATACCTGACCAAAACATGTTCTGGTACATGTAGGACGGAGGCCTGTTGTTCTCTGACTTTTAATGAGATGACCACATGAGAAATAATGTCTTATTCTGTATCATTAGTGCAAGCCAAGAACATAGAACACCTTCCAGGAGTTAGAGGTGGCTTTTGGAATCAATTACACATTTGTTTCCTCCCACAGTGGAGCAGCTTTCAAATCAAATATTACACATTGCTTAATCCCTCTCCTCCATTTTAATAATAATGGGACAAACTGAAGTGAACAAGAACAAAGGAACAGTGTAACTACATTGGTAGCAGGAAGACTTGGAGAAGAAACAGATACCTGGCCATGTCTGATTTTTCAAGCTCCCCATTGGATTTTTAGCAGACTGGTGACCATTTCGTTCCCAACCTAGTTCATTGAAATCTGTTTAGATTTAGTTTTTCTCTGGGGGGCATGATCTCATGAAGAAAACTTTTCAAGTTTCTTGTCTCTCCATATGGTATGCTGAAACTGGTATTTATCATGACTGCTGCTTATGAGCCCGAGTGTGGGAGTGTGCATGTAGCTCACGCTAGTGTTGGTAGCATGCAGAAGGCAGGGAAAGTGCCAGTTTGTTGCCTTGAAACCTGTTCTAAGGAATCCCTTGATTTTGTTGGCAGAAAATTATTCAAGCAAAGAAACCTGCTTTAATTACTAACGCAGTTAATAGAGTTGTTTACTCTACAACTTCATGTGGCTTGGCAAAATTCACTATACTGTTTTGCAGCTCTGCATTTGCTAGAATAAGCTGAATAGCTTTCACAACTTACTAAAGCAAAAGCAAAACATCTCAACATCCCTCAAGCAAGAGTCGGGTCCCTTATTTAATTACCTCACAGGTGTGAGCTACTCACAAAGATTTTCTGTGTTTAAGTTTCTCCAAGAATATTATATATCCAAAGAATTAATAGAATAGCTTCAAAATAATTTCCAGTGGCAAATGTGTGATATTAATCATAATTAATATCACATAATTAATCATAATCACTAAAACTGGCATAAACCTAAGGGACTTACAGATATTCTAGGGTATTTTGGGTTTTTTGGGGGTTTTTTTGTTGTTGTTGTTGTTGGGTTTTTTGTTTGTTTTTTTGTTTTGTTTTTTTTTTGTTTGTTTGTTTTGTTTTTTGGTTATTATTGCTCTGTATTTGGGGGGATAAATTTTATCAAGAACTATAAGATAAACTTTTTGTCCCTTGAATTTCTATGACTACATGGGTAATTTTCCCCTCCTTTTTATTTAGTACAGACATCATTTATTGATGATAATAAAACTTGAGAACACTATAATCTAATATTTACTTTGAATTTGAATATTTGATGAAACAGTTTATTCATGAGCTCTGCTTTGGAATTTTGGAAGCTTATTTCCTTGGTTGGTGGCTTTTCTTTCTAGCCCTCTACTAGCATATACCAGATTTAAATTGTGGAAACAGTCAATGCAATCATACATATAAAGATGACCGTCTTATACCATAAATCATCTGATCCTCAGAGTTCAGCCAGTGCTCTAGAAGCTTTCACCTCACACTTGTTCAGTATTCATAGAAGACAACATGGAGAGCGCGAGTTCTAGCACATTTCAAAATTGTAATATCTTTTACTACTTGAAAATTTTACAATGTAAATGAGAAAGGCTATTACTTTAGAAGAGAAAGAGAAGGTTTTGGTTCTCAGAAGAAAAACAAAGTGAGCCTTCCAAAACCAACACAAGCCCACTCACAAGTCAAGATAACATAAATGTCGGAGGTGGCAGAGACCAGAGCAGCAAGCAGGGAACCAGCCATCTTTCACTTTGTTCACACCAGTGCAGTGAAGGTGCCATCTTGGTTCCCCAGGAATTCTTACAGGAGACAGAACAGCAGCACCTCCCACTCCCACTCAGTGCTCTTGTCCTTCACATGATTCCAGAGCATAAGAGAGAAGACATGGGTGTGAGCAGGGCATGGTTCACACGAAGATCTTAAGATTGTCATTTTAATACGCCAACTTTGTAATGAGAACTCTGAGCTTACAATGATGCTTTTTCTTCTCTGAATACCAAAGGCATTAAAAGTCAGGTGTAAATGACTCACCAGTGTCATGTTGTATTTTGTTAATAGATTTTTTTTTTAAAGATATGTTTTCCAAAATCTATCGTTATCCATTTTGCTTACTTTCTTGCTTACTTTTTAAGCACGTCTTCTTCCATCCTTTATACCCTTGACATTTATTTCGTAGGCTTCCATTCTCAGGCTCCATACTCATTATGTTTATAATGAAAAGAACCCACCGGCCACACTTACAACTGGTGCCTCTTGAAAGAGCTGACACCTCATCTTCTGCTTTGGGCACATTGTGCAGACAGATAATACATAAATATGAGGTTGTTAAATACCCTCTACCTTCCATATTTATTGCTCATTTTAGAATCACCCTTTGGTTCAAACCAGATTTCTAGACAATTTATGAGCCAACATGAAGTTCTTAAAACTAAGAATGAACCCTTCACCAACAAGTCTCAGTGCAGAGAAGTTCTTTCTTCCAAGTGGTCTGTCCATTTTGTGCTCCTCTAATACCCACCTACTCCTATTTTTTAACTGGTGTGTGTGTGTGTGTGTGTGTGTGTGTGTGTGTGTGTGTGTGTGTGTGTGTGTGTGTGTAAAGGAAAGCCTGCTTATGGAAGGAATGAACCATTTTTGCAAAATACTGACCCTGATGTCCCCTAGGGCACCACACCTTTCCCTGGCAAGTTTTAATCAAGCAGTTTGAAATCTTGATCCCAAACTTCTTCTCTTTTCCACTCTTCATAAAAGGTTGTGCTTGCCATACTTCTAATACAGTCTCCCTGTAAGCCAGACTCTCTGAATGTGTACATGTATGAGAGAGTGAGTGAGTAAGCAAACAGCTATGGAACATTGTATATGTGCCAAGCTCTGTGCTTGGCACTGTTCAAGCCTTAGAACACATCATGTGATTCCAGTGGCATTTTCTGTATGAGAGTGGTTCATACCATTTTAAATGTTTTCCAAAATGAATCGTGTTGTGAAATTCTTAGTTTTGTATTTCATTTAAATTAAAGAGGAAGATCAAAGGTTTATAATATATTTTAAACACTGTTACTATATAATACTAACAACTATAATTGTAGTTAGTAACTAAAGTCTCTTGGAAATGTCAAAGAATATTTGATTTCTGATGCATCTTTGACTAAAATATTTACTTTAGAAATAAAAACATTCTTATTTTGTTAAATCATTTTAATTACATGATCAAAGTCAATATTTTGTAAAAGTGCATGTTATTTTATATTTAAAGTAATCTTGTCCCCCTAATTCACGGGTATACACCTTGCAGTTGTAAATTGTCTTTTCTCTCATACACTCCCTACTAATGGTAGCACTTGGATTTCTTACATATAAAGAAAAACATACTGAAATATCTCAAATGCCAGTTACTAGAGTATAATAGTTGTAGCTTCAGGTTCCTCCTTTTCTCTGGGATCTTCACCCTGGAATTGGCCAGCTCCTGCCTTGTGTACTCCGCATAGCTGTGTATATATGCAGTTATCCACAGGCCTGGAATACTGTCTGCTCACTCTAGGCAGCTGATGACTGCTTTAGGCCTCACAGCTTGCCTACAAAGGATTGAAGGAATCACATCTGTTTTGAGTCACTCATCATGGTTCAGGGACCCGGGAAAGGTTGCTTTTGTTCCTCATCTCATCTAGACTCTCACAGATGGGCTTCTCATTCTATGTAACAGCGAGCCTTCCTGTGAACAGCCAGGCAGTAAGTGTTTTAAGGTCTACAAGCCATGTAGCTCTTATTACTCATTTCTGCTGTTACAGTTGTAGGTGGTATGCAAATAAGTGGGTGGAGCTGTGTTTTGACCTTTATATGTCACAGCTGCTAACCCCATCCCAAGTTGATTTTGTATACGATACTCTAACCTGCACCCTTTGTCTGTTTTTTTATTTGCATAATTCACTTTAAAGCTGAAAGATGTATGTATGTACAATTGTATGTATCTATGTTCCCTAAAGGTGTATATTTTGTTATCTTGAAAGTAGATATATTTTTCAGGGTCTCTATGGGTTTTAGGAAAATGTGATTGTCATGAGAGAGGCAGGATGGGAGGGTTAGGCTTTTGGCCCTTGTCTTCATCTTGTAATTCATTCAGTGTCATAATTCCAGACTGCACATGAAAGAAATCTGTATGGTATCAAAATTCTACTTTTTAACGTTACCTGCTGCCTGACCCTTGGACCAAGACCCTGGGATGTAGGATGTATTCACACTACTACTTTAGAGCTTTCAGATGAGAACATAATAGAATTCTGGATCTTGGTGCTTCAGAAAACAATCTTGGAAAACTGTGGACAACACAAAATTGGGTATGTGCCCAGTTTACCCATTGGCACAGCTGCTGCTAGCCTGTAGAGTACTTACACTGTCACCCCTAGGACAGCTTAAATCTGGGTGAAGATACATACCCAGAGTTGTGCCCCCTTCTTTCTTCATTTCATAACTTCACAATACCTTCACAAGTATGTCAGTGTGCTTCATTTTCCAGTGAAAGCATCTTTCAACTTGGGCTGTTTACTGGCACTGTTTAACAGTTCAACCAGCAGCTGTAAGGCTCACGAAACTTACAATTAGGCGGTATCATCTTACTAGCATAAATGCTGCAATGTGCCAGTCCTGACAGGCAGTACATTTTTCACGTTTATCAAGTGTTTCACTATTTGGAAATGAAACCTGTATTCAGAATGAGGGGACAGAGAGTTCTTGTCTCAGCGTGAATGAAAGGCCTTTTAAGCCTTGCCCACTCAGAGGTCACTTCTACTTTGTGTGCATGTAAGCTTTGGTACTCCAAGCACACGCAGAACATCCATGCAGAGAACACTTTGCAGTGTATGCTGCATATAGTGTAACTTGGATGCTACAGAATTATGCATATTGCACACCAGAAAACCATGAAAATCGGAGGGAGCTCTTTATTGACAGAAAATTAAAGTCAAACCTTGATGGGTTAACTAACTACAGTATCCCCAAGTATATAATTATGTTGGTTTAGAAGCTGAAATGCCACTTACCCTTACCCTGACTGGCTTTAAATTTCACTGATGGTTTTCCCCTAAACTAGTAAGTGGGTAAGTATAACCTGTGTTGTTACCCACTGGCTGCTCCTGAACTGGTTTCCAGTTGTGTCATCCATAATGTGATTTTTTTAAATATATATACATATATATATATATATATACATATAAATCAAAGGTAATATTGTATATTGGAGATCAAATAAAGATGTTCTTTAAGTGAAAGGTCTTTTTTCTTTTTTCTTTTTCTTTTTTTTTTTCCTTCACCCATTCACCCAACAGCAACAAACAGTTCAGTTTCTTCCTGTGTGTAGAAGAGCAACTTTGGCTTTGTGTACAGGAACTTAGAGTCCTCAGTTTCCAATGTTTGGCTCTGCCCATTTTCACAATTCTTGATCCTATAGTCAGATAAAGAGCTAGATGGGAGACTAATTTTTATACACTGCTTTGAAGAAAAACTCTAGAGCTGTATTTCCATGTTTCTTGTGTATGCTATCCCCAGAGCAGCCGTACGCTGCTAAAGTGTGAAGTTCCAGCAGCAACTTTGGGCACATGAATATTTACATGCAAACTTTAGGGTGGGCACATTTTCATTTCTCTTAGGTATGTATAGATGTAGAGAGCCAAGTGCTGAGTTGTAGTACAGTTAGTTGTGCCTAACTTGTTTTTATATAGTTGCCACAGTCTTCAGGTGACTTTTCATGCTCTTACTAGCAGTGTATAAAAGTACCAGCTTTCATTCCCACCACTTCTAACAGGAAGCTGAGACCATTGTAAAGACTTTTTAAAGTTTAAATTGTGTGTTTGGTCACGCAGAAGCTACAGTGCTCACGGGGAGGTCCAAGGACACTTGAGGGAGTAGTTTCTTTCCTTCCACCATGTGTGCAGCTTTCTCGGATGGAACTCAAGTTGTGGGGTTTAGTGGGAAGTAAGTGCCTTTGCCTGCCGAGCCATCTCACCAGCACCATTGTAGTTTGTGTTCTTGCTTCCCTGTCACTGACACTTGTGTCTTTCTCGTGCCTGCTTTCCCCTCCCCCTATGTGTGAGTTCTGAATTCACTCTGTTTGCTGTTCTCTAGGATGTTGATGTGCCCTGTTTTATGGTCCTGAAGTACAGGAGAATTTGGTGTTGATGAAGTACAACGTCTTTATGTTCCCTGATGTATTGTGCTTTCTTGCCTAATTTTGTATGTGGACATCCAGTGTCCTGTTATTATCTATTGAGGAGCAGCCCTTTCTCCTGGCATTGCTCTGGCACCTTTGTGAAATGGCATCTGATGGCTGCTATAGGCTTTATTTCTGGGCTCACCCTGTCCCACTGACCCACTGACACGTCCTCTCTAGTCTAGGGCCGCAGATGGGGGTGTTGGTGGCTAGCTGGTTTTTCAGCTGGCGGTGGAATTTGCACCTCCTCCATGGAATTTACACCCTTCTGTTAGCTGGCAGTGGCCCATGCATTTGAGAGTGAGAGTGGACTGATTGTAACTGGTATCTCATGAGAGAAGTGAGATACTGAGATACAGCTTTAAGTCATTTAGTCTTTTTTTTTTTTCTGAAAATAGGTTCTTCATACAGCCTTTTGTCTTTTATAATTTTTAATAAGACAAAAAAATAGTTAAATCGCTATTGGAACAGATGGATTCTGATTTTATTGTAGCCCCCCACTAAGGAAATGTTTTTCTTTTTGGATTTTTGTTTTGTTGTAGTTTGTCTGCTCTTACTTTTTGTCTAATGATTGCTGGATGAGTTCTTTCTTGCCCCATAGTGTTTAGTCACAATGTCTGCTCACTTTCCTATGTATTTGTTGAACCTGGATTCTTGGGAGTCAGCCCTATATAGGGTTAGCTCAGTAGTTAGCCAGTGTTTGTCAGAGACTTAGAGTCTCTAACACACACAGTACAGCCGTGTGTGTTTGGTATTACTTTAGCCTAGACATTCTCCTATGTTTTCTGTCTATAGCGAAGGCTTCTTGCATAGGCCGGAATACCCTG